AGATTGCTCACATGAAAGGCTCCTGAGGTTAACCTAATCACAAAGATGTGTGGCTATACCCCTTGTAGGCCGGATTTACAGTGCAAACACTTTCAGGGAGCCCTGGTTTTGCTCTTTCCCTTTCTGTTGCTGCCTGAAAAGGAAACGTTCCACCTCGGCCCTTCAGAGTTGAGAAAGCGCCGTGCAATCAGACATGTTATTTGTCTTGTTGACACAATGCAGCTAACCTGGTTATGTAATGGCGTCCGTGTGTTATGTGGGCAGTTCTTTCGGTCATCCGAAGCATTCCTGTATAATGTACGGACCAGCACTAGTGGCGAGGTTTACAATGCCTCAGCCTTAACAGAAGCCAAAGATTGGGTTGTCCCTGCCAACACAGCACCAACCTGTAAAAACTATTGCTCTCAGACACACAGGCAAACAAGGCTCTCGCACACATGCAATTAAATCCCTCGGCAACTACCTAATTCCCTCAACCCAACATGTGTTTATATGACAAAGACATTAGCATTAAAGCTTCATCAAGCACTACGTAATGCTGTGCAGCCAGAAGCTAACAGGATCGAGAGTGGTCATTACAACATGCTGGAAGCTGCTGAGCACTGATGTCAGCTGTTTAACAGGCCCCGTGTCTATAACCTCAGATTCATATTCACTGTTATACGGAACCCAGAGGCAAGAAGCAAGGAGGGTTAGAGGCTGACCACCAAGTCCAAACGCAGAGGCAGTCATTTGTTTTCAAAAGCACCATCTGCTGGATAAAATAGGAAAGAGCATCCTGTTTATGGAATTGACTGGACTGACTCCCCTACTCAAACTTGCACAACTCATCAAATGTGTGGCTGAAACGGACTAAACATCGTACAAGTTATATTATTATGTATTTTACATATTAGATGTTTAATTTCTCACTGAAACAAAGTGATGTAAAAGACATGCCAAATCCTGACAGGGTGTGTGACTCTCACTCTCACTCACAGTGACGCAAGTCTTTCGACACGCCCATCAGATCCCTCGAGCTGCAATTACACGAGAATAACTGATGAGCAGGCTTAAGGGAAAATCAGAGTCCATTCCCTCCCAGGCTGTTTGATTGTTCAGTCGGCCCCCAGAGGGCCGCTGGCTACTGGAGTGACTATTTACTCACACAAGCCGAGCATTGACGGGAGAGGCAACACCGAGTCTCAGCCCGATGGAGACAATGTTGGACTGAATAACCTCATATACCGTCAACAGCTGAGCTAATGTTGGCTTATGCTGCTCTCGCTATTGTTTAACATGGAAAGACCAATGAGATCACATATTCAGCAGCTATCATTTTGATTTCTATTCCCTTAAAATGTTAAAGGGATTTTAACACTACTGCTCCTTTCTTCCAACAATGATTGCCACCCAAAATGGCTCAAATGTGAGAAATCATGCACATAAAATGTGGAAACTGAATATCAAGGACTAAATGCAAATGTATGTGGTATTTAATGCCACTTACCTCCGCCTACTGGCTTTGTGTTTGGTTATGATGGACCATGTTCTTTGCCACTTAAAGTGACTGAAATAAGTGCAAGTTTAGTTAGGCAAGTTAAAGTTTATTAATACTACACACAACTTTACTTGGAGAGCCTAATGTTGCTAGTGAACAGAAAGGTTACATAAAGTAAACGTTGAAACAAATTTTACTTACATTTTTGCTGCATCTCCAACTCTCGCTCATGGATATCTAAAGACCGTTATACTAGTCCATCACATGTAGATATGTAAATTACAGAATTACTTCACATTAAGCTCATTTATAGCAAGCAGATCTTAAAAACAAACAAAAAGTGTGACGGTTGTGGCCACTAGTTTCCAAAAAAAGAGCTATGCTCATATTCGACGATTCAACTTTTAGTTAATGCTGGTCACCCAAATAAAAAGAAGCTATATTCATTTCTTTCACAGATCATTTAAAACTTCGTCACTGCGATTGACATTTAAAAATGTGATTTGAACTCTTGAGCCTCAGAATCAGGATTTTGCTGACGTTCTGGAACAATAAGTGACAAACCTGATGTATTTTCCCACTCTTTAGTCTCCCCGGTGCTGGCTAATTGCAACCTGGTTTCCACTATTGTGTAGGCATAAGGGCTAGTAAGTCCACATGCTGTCATTATATTGCCACCCATTTTCCCCCAGTAACACAATTTCTGATTTCTTCTGCATCTTGTGATCTTTGGAATTAACAATGCTTGTGCCATGGAAATGTGGCTAATGAGTGGCAACTCTGACTCGAGGCTTCATGCACTAAAAAAAAGCGCCCGTTGGCCTCCCCTTGTCACACACTGCAATTAAGCAACCACACAAAGAAACCGATATAGATGGAAGGAAAGAAGCAAATACATATGCACTTGCCAAATGCGGTCTTACTGAGAATGAGAAATGGCATTTTAAATGTTTTTATCCCGGAGTTTAAAAGACATCATGGTTGTAATTAATGTAGGTGTTGAAGCTTTCAGCACTTATCAAGCGACCAGTTTGCTTTGGGAAACCCTACCAGGAGCTAATGACAACTCAGCTCCTACGGTCATGGGGGCACACAAACTCCCCCACCACACAATGGCAATACTTTTTCGCCATGTTAAATAAATGGTAAACATCTTCTTTAATTTAAAAAGAAGATGCTGGGAAATGACAGCTGAGGTTAGATTGATGGTTACATGTCATTGGGATCATTTGGTACTGGCTTTTTTTTAACCTCGTAAACCAACACATTAGTTATATTTGGCACAGTCTGTACATAGTTGGGACAAAGACACAGAAAACAGAAGGTCGCATGAGGCTCAATGGCAGGTGCTCTAAAAAGATAACTCAAGGTTGATAATAAAACAACAGGCAACAAGCCGGCTGTGTTGGTTGGGACTGTCAGATTGACACGAGACAGACACAAAGGAACAAGTGAATCACTTCCTTCCAACAGCTTGGGGATCAGTCTCCGAGGTGACTGCAGTGACAACATTGCTGGTCTGTTTGTGTTGAAGAGTGGTCGTGGCTCCTGTTTATCCTGAGAGCAGGATGAATTCAATCAGCCAAAGGGTCTGCAGCTTCCTGCGTCAATGTTTCCTTACGGGGAAGTTAGTAATATTCATACTGTGAGCAAACTAAAGTCCTCACATGTGACTTGCATGTCATGAGTATGGACTTATGTTTGAGCCTATGCATCCTGGAAAGGTAATGTATTTGTTCACCAACGAAAACTTTTAGGACATAATTACTGGTTTCAGATTTTAAAGTAGCTCGAATAAGCTAGACAATAAACAGGCCATAGAAACCCCTGTGGTACAGCATTTGTTTTAGGAAAAACAGCTGGCCTCATTTAGTGGTATTTCTCAATGTTTGGAACAGTCAGATAAGCAAAATATTGGTTGAACATCAATTCAAAATGCGAAATACACATGAAAAATTGTAGACTTGGTTGCAGATGATAAGAGTTTGATTTCGAGCGCTGAAAATGTTTCCATGCATTGTGGAGGTTCCGCTTGATGAATGATTATTGGTGTGCCATGTGAAAAGTGGATGACATCAGGGTGTGGAAACATGATGTTTGTGCTTCAGTACCTGTATTTCCTGATGCAGAGTTGGACCATCGTCAGCCCGTTTCTGGATCGGGCCACCACTGCAGGGCTGTGTCCCGAAGAAGCTGGTCTCATAAAAACAAGCTCTGCACGAAGCACAACTGAGCCCTGCCCACCGAATCAAGACTAATTAAGTGCAAACCAACTGCAGAAATTTCAAAGAGCAATTTACTCAAATTGGGAGGAATTATTTCCAATGCATGTGTTCTCCACAGACTAAAAAAGCTCAAATTTACTTTTAAGAGGAGCCACAAACCAAAAACAGAGCTTTTGTGTGGTCGCACCGAGCATCTTTATTGAGATAGAAAATTAAGAGAACTGCTAAAATAAAGTGTGGTAATTCAACACAGGCAACGCCATGACAAATAAAGGAACAGATGTGTAGGCACCAGAGGTTTCTACTCTGGCATGTCATCAACTTACGTGATGTTACATTAATTACTTCATAGAGCAAACAGTGCATTAGTCTGCTCAAAGGTATATACTATTTCAAAACACTATTTTTCATTCTGTATGGACAACAGATTTTGAATCAGTAGTAGTTAATATCACTAAAATGCTCACTACTGTGGGTAGAAGACCGCACACTAGGGTGGCCTGCTGCTACTTTAAAGGAATAGATCGACATTTGGGGAATTAGGCTGATCTGCTTGCTGAGAGTAAGAGTGTGTGGGGGGGGGGAGGCAGATTTTAGCACCTTTAGACTGAGACCAGCGAGCAGTTTCCCCGTTTCCCGTCTTTATGCTCGGCTAGTTATCCAACTGTATTATGAGAGTGGTATCAATCTTCTCATCTAATTCAAGACACACACATAAATCAGCATATTCCCAGAAATGTAATACATTGTATCTTTGCATGATCACAAGTTGTCAGCCTATCTTTTCACATATTTACAAAGATTGTATATGAAAGAAAAAGCTGCTTTAAATACTTCTGCAGCAAAAAAAAGCTTTTGGGTTCAGCAAACTGTATGAAGGCCCAGCTGCATATCGTATGAGCACATGGGTCTGAAATGTACGGCAAAACCTGAACATGGAGAGTAAAACGGCACCTAAAGGACAAAGGAGTGAATGAGTTCGGGGTCTCTTGTGTCCTCCCTTGCCGAGGGATGCGCAGTCAGATGTGAGATCATTGCCTCCGACTGCAAAAGGGCGGAAAATGCGTCATCACGGGCCAGACCTCAAAAGAGCGCCCGTCCATCGGGGTTAACGTCCAAAAGAGGTTAGCAGGGGTTATAAACAGACACGTATAAACACAGGCCCCACCATCAGTTATTACTGGCGCTCTGTTGTCGTAATAAACTAACATTAGGTAAGAATACGGTACATGGAGGCACCGCATGCGTAACAACATTCACACAGGGAGACACCCCGGAGGTGTCAGAGAAACGAGCATGTTAACATGAACTTTTATTAGCTGATGGAAAAATGAGACTAATCTCACTGAAGCTTGACACAGAGGACAAATTAGTTCAACTTCAAAGTGGTTTGCTTTAGCTTTCAATTAAAATAAAGAGTCAAAAGAGGGACACACAACGTAATTACAAATTAAAACACAAAGACTTCTCTTTAACCGCTGAGCTTTCTAATTATAGATCTTTTATAAAGCGTTTTTCAAGACGCCGCGACTCGTTACACGACAGGAAAAAGAAGATCCGAAATAGCTAAAAACACTAAAGGCACAAAGTAGCACGAGACATTCAATCAAACAATACCATCTGGTCACAAACGAGCTATATAATGACATTAATTAGCAGTAGAGTACTTGAGCTTTCAATTATATCACATGATCTTCACCAGCAGATGGAGTTTGCCTAAATGTCGATACACAAAGTTTGATGAATTCTCACTAAAGTTGGCTTAAAATTGAGTTTTAAAGTGTCCTTGTACTGATCTTGGAAGCAGGAAAAAACAAAACTTGCATCAAGGTCCATTTATTAGGTGTTCTGGAGCTTTCGATCGTATCTCATGATCACTATGAACAGATGAGGTCCGATGAAGACGATCAAAAAGCTCCAGACGAGCTAATAAACGTACCTCAAGATAAGTGTTCTAGAGATCAGCAGATATAAAGGCAGCCAAGTGAACTAAAACATACAGATGAGATGACCTTAAAATGATATTTTTTATGTTTGGTCCACAGAAGAGCAGCAGAATAACACAAATGCAGAAAAACAACAAAATGTATAAACATCAACACTGAATTGATTCCATTTATATGATACAGAGGTATCAACCACCGTCCGTTTGCATCCGCTGCATACTGACACAAGATTGATGACTTCCTGGCAGATGCATCTGCCTCCTCATTCATTTCACCCTTAACATCTGGGCATTATCATTCCAGTCCACAGCTGTCGGCAGCAATAGCCGACTCATTTTCATCGTGACAGTGATGGATATGAACAGGCTCAGACTATTTCACAGCATCATCCTTAGTCATGCTGACCTCAGCACTCTTTTCCGACAGCTCAACTGTCATCAGAAGGAACCAGAGATGTTCTCAGTTATACACTGGTGCCCTGCTGCTGTCGCTGTGTTAATTAATACCGTCCACGCCGTCGTTTAGTTCGTCTTTAATGACCTCCATGTCAGTAGCAGGGCCGTCACAGCTCTTACCACATGGAGAGTTTTCTTCAGCTTTTCCTTCCTCCTCCTTCTCTTCATCACTGCTGTCTATCTCTCCCTCCTCTAGATCTCCCTTCCCTGCTTCTAACTTGGCCCTTTTCACGTGTGGACGTTGACGTTCAGGGCTGGTATCTGGGGCTCCTGCCCAGATCTCGGGGTTGCGAGCTCCTTGTAGGGACGGTGAAACTTTGACGACACCCTCCTTGTCTTGGTCCACCCCCTCCTTCTTTAATGCAAAACGTTTGCAGGCTGAGGCAGGTTCAGCTGAAACAATATGACCCCGTTTGTGTATTTAAAAAAAAGCATAATAAAACACTTCTGCATTTCCAAACATATACACAAGTGGTCAGAGCGGTCAGTTGCACAAAGATGGCTAGAGCACAGCTGGCGGCCATGATTAAAGTGAGAAGCAGAGGACGAGTAAAGACAGTTGGGAATGATGACGCATGCTGTTTTGCAGGAGGAGGCAGCGTGCCCGGTAATTAGTCATGCAATAAAGTAGAGCGGACACGTGTGAAAGAACGGATGCAGAATAAATGACTGTATGAACGATAATATGAATTATCAGCAATTACTCCCCAGCATGATCTCCCCACAGTCGGCAGATTAATAAAACGCATGAACCCGTTTGCATGAAATTCACTTTAAGATGTAGACTTTTGCCAACACATTGTGAAGCGGTTCTCCAGCTGAGCCTCTAATATGAAAGATTAATGTCATTCAGCTTTTATTCTTTGTGCTGCAACACGAGGCAATTAAACAGCTATGCCTGCCTCCAATTAAGCATTTATCGTCGACACGGACCATTACTTATAGAATTTAAAGGCCCATCATTTTTATCTTCTATTCACATAGGCGTGTTCAGAGTTATGGGTCGAGTGCAGTCTCAACTGAATATAAATTAAATAAATACTGCTGATGTAAACAAACGTAGACTTAGGTGTTGTCTAGTGGAAACCTTTTCATTCTGCATCTGCATCCCATTTTTACTAAAGTGCTTACTCCATCGCAGACGTGATGTCTCCACCGTTACATATGGCTGACATGGTGACATGTTATTCAAACTCTTCTTCTTCAGAAGCAAAGCCTTCTTTACCAACATAACAACAGTTACTAGCTTAATTGTCCTTAGACTGGCACTAGTTTGTTGAGGTGACTGCTTTCACTACAGGCCGGTTTGACCCGTACTCTGGCACGTCTCCAAAGAGCAGAGTACTGTCTTTGCTTACTCGCTAGCATCAGTAGGTTTGGCTACACCTAGCAAGCTAATAGTGAGAGAAGCATGCAGTCACCTTAATGCTAATGCTTTGGATGGCACGTCCTAAAGTGAGAAACGATTAGTTTTAAGCGGCTTAAATTTTTGTTTACATGTTCTTCATAACTTATTATACAAACCCTTTCCCCCCCCTGCTACAAAATAGTAGCTACATTTGGAGTCGGAATTTAAAAATCTGATCTAAAAATTGGGTAAATGTGTCATCAAAGAGATGTAAGAGCCAGCATTTAGTGTATGAGTGCTGTTTTAACTTGATTACTGAGCTGCTGGACCCTCAGCATCCCTTCATCCACACTAGATGAGCCGCTGCCACAGTGTCCAACTGCTGTTTATCACTTTGCGCCCTGCTTCCCAGGCCACGGCATTCCCAATTATCAGGATGTTTCTATGGCAAACATACCAAAACAGTGTGGCACCAGAGGCCTTATCAGTGAAAACATGCACACGCTGAGACTAAAATGACCTCATTCGTCATTCAGCCTGTCTGGGTCTGGCCGTGTGATGATACTGGGTTCGTGTGGTCTTTTGTGATCACATGAATACACAGTTTGACCACACTGTGCACATTTGAATGTGGGCAAAATGATGACTTTTCTTGGCCCCTAAACATCCGGACCTGGAGGAGGCAAACAGGTGAGAAAAGCCATGGGCTGATCTCCTGTTTTCTCCTCTTCTGTCATTCCACAACTCATGAGATCACCGTTCAAAAGTAAGCCGCGTTTGATCCTCTTTCTGGCCACGGTCGCCGTTGAGGTGAAGTTGGTGTGTGTGACGCTGTGCAGAACACCCTTATTTCCGTTGGGGTAGCATGTTGCCATAGTGAACAATCAGAGCAGAGAGTCTCAAAGCCTCAGCTGGAGAAAGCAGGACGTGATACAATGCTGTTGGAATTGGGGAAGTGGATAGGGGTCGGTGTTTTGGGGCTGCGTAGGGCTTTGACTCACGTATATGTGTCCACCCTTTTGTTGAGTTACAGAAAACATAGGTGAAAAAAAGAAGCATTAGGCTGAATATAGTGATGCTAGTGAAGTTACTTGTTGCTAATAAAGCATAAGTAGGTTAGTGTCGGTGCAGGTGTTAAGGAATTTATTATATAAGATAGTGTTATTTACCCGGTCCTTTTAGTGGAAACTCCTTCCAATGGTCTCTGAGTACAACATGCAGCACAGGATATTCAATGAGTGTTTTGTAGCTCAGGTTGTCCCTCAGGGTCTTGCGAATGTCCAACTCATGGTACCTATTTCAAATACAATTGAAGCACAAAAAGAGTGGATTACAAGGCAGCTCAGTTACATCATGCTGGGTAAATGATGTGATATTAGGGTCGTTGTAGGTAATTTCAGGTTTGCTAAGTAGCGAGAAAGACAAGAGCAAAAAAGAACCCCCGTTGTTGAAACTCTTTAACTAGTAACTGCTGCATTTTTGTTTCCAGCCGCCTGTGGCATGTTGACGGCTGAGAATCCTTTAAGGATTGATAGAGATTTGAGTCATGGCTTGGCACATTGAAGATCCTGCTTGATGTTGGTTTCATGAGATGGAAACCGACTATACCAAGAATCAACAACATCTCTCACATAACGAGGGTCTCTTACCCCCTCCTTCAGCTCTGTGTGTGAGATGACATCAGTCTAGTCTTGTCTCTAAGAAGTCCTGTCACGCATTAGGGATGCTCATAAATCATCAGACTAAATAGTTAACTGGATTCTTGGGAGATGAGGCTTGGAGAACTGAACTGATTCAAGGACCATTCAGCTCAGGCTGTCATCATCAAAATACAAGGCATCACGTATGTTTGGACATATACAGTAAACCACCGCCAACAACTGTCACACACGTGCCAGACTGAAGATTGTTGAGCCATTGTTTGTTTTGCTAAAAGCATAAGCAGACTGAGAGAGCCGCCCAGGTAGACACCCACTCCCAAAGCCAATCAAAGCACTCCGCTATAGTGTGACATTTACAGGTCTTTACTGGCAGGGGCCAGCTTCAGAGAAGCCCTTCCCTCCACCGGAGAGTTTCTCATAGGTGGGCTAAAGATCATTTCGCACAATCCCACAAATAAACAGCAAAAATGTGTTGGCACTTCCTGCAGGACAGGATAAAGGAAAGGAGGGATAGCCTGCGGGTCTCAAAAACACGCCGGACATTTCTTGCCACAGTGCACATGGTTGCAGCGTACTTCCGGCCCGATCTCCACATCAGAAGAGAAGAAATAGCCTGTTTAAAGACGGATTCTAGTGTAGAAAGGAAAACAAACCAACAATAGGGTCAAAAGTTAAGAAGCTGCTGCTGTGTGTGCGAAAACATGAAAGAAAGCAGGATATCTACAAGGACCGCAACCATTAGCAGTGTGCATACCAGACATAACCGTTTCCATTTCACTTGTTTTTATGTCCAACGTGTAATAAATGAAATCTTCACGGATGTTTCTTTGATTTTTGTGGATACGCAAACTAAACAAAAACACAAGTGTTTGTAAAACAACAGCGAGAGAGGTAGATGGCAGAGCAGACTGCGGCTCCCTGTGGTGTTGATGCAATTGTTAAAGCTCTGGCCATTTCTAGAAACATGGCTGGATGGCTCAGCCAACAACACGCACACATCTGGTCTCTATATAGTGTTCTAGTGAATGAACTCGACAGAGGGCAAGGCTGACGTTCTCTTCACAGAGGTTCCTTTTATGCCCCCCCCCCCTCCACTGCTGAGGATACAGCCGTGGTGAGGTGCAACGACAAAGGAACAATGCAGATATCTTGATACTGATAATCATTCTGAAAAATCTGAGTAAGTGCAAAAATAAAGTGAGCATGTCCATGGCTGCTTCATAGTTGGTACCTGCATTAGTTTGTGAAATTGATGTTTAATTGATGTAAAAGCCATCCACCACTATCCATGAACTTTTTTTGAATATATAGTAGGCTTATGCAATTTAGGATTGAAAACGAGATGTTTGATGTGTACTAAATGAGTGAACCACCAGGCCTTTGAGGAGAAACCCGTCTCCGCATGCTTTTTTCGCCTTTGCCTTAGAGTGTGGGCATTCAGAACAGATGCAGAAATATTACCACCATCCCAACTGTGACACTGAACAATTACGCAATACATAATCTGCTTGCTATTTTAGTAACAATACCCAAAAATCAGTCCAGCATTGCAGGAGACGTGAGGAAGCATCTGCTGCACAAAAACAAACTTGAAACATGGCTTTAGGGCGAACAGGCTGGACGGGTTCAGGAGGGCTAAGGAGAGGGTGTGCCACAAATATGTGAGAGAAAGCAGTGGTTGGGACGGGACAGAAACATCATTGGTTAACACACACACACACACACACACACACACACACACACACACACACA